CGCGTCGTGCCCCCTCTGGGGCGTCTCAAAGCTGCCCCTCTCTGGGGCTGGGGTCTACGTACCCCGCATACAGTCCAGGGTCTCTGTTCCCCGCCCGCAACCCACTGGTTGCGCTCAGGGCCCCCACACCTCTGGGGTCCCTATGAGGCCTCCTCCAACCCCTACAGCCTCACCCAAGCCTCCGGTGTAATATCAAAGCCAAACATAAACTCGAGCCTCCTGGCTATAACTCAAACATAAAGCCTCCTGGCTAAACCATGGTGCCCAAACCTCTCAGAGCTGCCATCCTTCTCTCAGCTAGAGTGGTTCCTGCATCGCTCGCCTCCTAGCTCCAGGAGCTCCTGCCCCTCTGGCTGCTGGCAGGGAACTGCCAGCCTGGCCTCAGCCCTGGGCTTTATAAGGGCCAGGCCCTGCCTCCTACAGGCAGCTGGCTCTCCTTAGTTGCCCCGGCAACTGGCAGCTGTGCTCAATATGTTCTGCCAGGGCTCTCTCTCCCTGGCAGTTTCTACTCCCTAGGAGCAGGCACTGAGGTGCCCTGCGACAGTAGGGACTGTAAGTGAGGAGACTTCTAAGCTTTATAGTAGTCAGATTCTGGAACACCCTTCTAGTTGGAGTATTAGGAACAAACCCTCCCGCCAATAAAAACTGCTTATATGATGGAGCTTGATCAGCTTATAAGTGTGAGGGAGCTGCAAGGGCATTAAGAGAAATGCTGGGAACAGCAGTGGAGCAGCCCCATGCTTACCTGGTCCCGGAGCCAACATGCTGCACTTCACCCAAGGCGTAGTGTTTTAAAAGCAGCCTCTCCCTCCAGATTGGAGGAGAGGCGCCTGGCAAAGTTATTTCAGGCCTCAGTAAGGGGCTGTACAGGGAGGACAGCACCAGATCATGGTGTGGACTCACTTCCAGGACAGCCAGAAACCAAAAGTGAGAGTCCTCCAGCAGGCAGGAGCTGAGAACCTGCAAGCAGATGGTGCCCAGAGGGCCGCTTAACTGTCTGGAGGAGCCATCCTAAGAGGGGAAGATGGGTTCTCTAGACAGCCTTGGGAGAAACCTTAGCCTCAAGATACAGATCCAGGGTGGACTGATTGTGACGACCGCCAGCAGTAGCCTTGCACCAGACGAGTGAAGGAGGGATTGTGATAAATAACCATGTTGATTTTTTTTTCCTTTCTTTTTTTTCCTGATTGTTTGTTGTACCTATCTAATGGAGAAAATATTCCTTCTGTGGCTGCCTAAAGAACTTTAATTACAGCCCCTGATGAGGGTGAGAAGCCCATAAGGGGAATCTGTGTTAAAGGGGAGAAGAATCAGAAATTATACTGGGGATGAGAGTTTCGACCCTAAAGCGACAGAGAGCTATGGATTGTGATTTGTTTTGCACCGTTTTTTAGTCCTTTTGGTTTTGGTCAAATTTTCACTCAAGGACCAACTATTGTTGAGAGTTCCATGAGAATTTGTCTCTTCATAGAACTTTTCCAACTATTTGAGTTGGTCTAATAAAAGACATCGGATTTACCCAAATAACTTTGTCTGCCTATGCTCTCTTCATGGCCAGCACTCATGTAAGCTTTATATCTGGCTTGTGCTCAAAGAAAGTGAAGACAGCCTGTAGAGCCAGACATTCCCACTTAAATTCATCTGATGTGGTTAGGGTGGTGTAAAGGGGAGGTTGAAGCCCCATACGAAGATTGGCCTGGAGCTCTGGGGATTACCATTGGTCCATTTCTCCATCTCCAAGGAATTTATGTGGTAAATGTCACAACCCAATTAAATTGTGCCCATGCCACTGAGCAAGAGATACCATTCAAATCATCTTCATTTGAATATTAAGGGTTAAAATACTTCCCTGCCAAAAATTCCTTAAAACAAAACGCGGCCGGAGTACTGTAGATAATTGGTCAGCTGAAATAAAATGCTAGGGGAAACTATATATAATTGGTCCAAAAATAAGCGTAAGCTCCTCACACGTAGCACACACGTAACAGGTAGAGAAACCTAACCCACTACCTTGTAACTTGAGGAGACAAAGAGCTGCCACCTGCCAAAAAATTAAAGATTCCATATAACGGTTCACAATTGGGCATCTCTGTCAAACACCTCTGCCTATAAATAGTTTAACGGTTTCCACCCAAGTCGGAGAGCTCTGGGGATCTCACAGGAAACACCTGTGCTTGTCACCAGAGAATTGGGAAATTGATCAATTCCCAATCAATCACCCCGTCAGCGTAAAATATTGACGTAGAAAGTCTTGCAAGCTCGACCGTTCGTCTCCGGCGCCACATCCGTCATTATCCCGTTGTAACCTGACTGTGTGCGTGTACTCGACTCTGTAACCGAAGTTATATGCGTATACTCAACTCTGTAACCGAAGCTGTAACGGAACAAAGGCTCGCCTGTGTCATCCATCACTATCTAGGCGATGTAAGTAAACAAACTCCTGTAACCTACACGTGTCTGTGCCTGGTTAATTCCACTCCATCCATCAATTACCCGCCTGCCGAGCTCTAAATCTAAACACTCCAGTGTGAGTCAGGCAGCTGCCGGCGGCTGCTCTGATTCACGACAGTAACATCAAGATATGGCAGGCGAGAGCACTTCATCTGAGTGAACTGGACCACGGTGTTCCTAGATCAAATACCAGTGGCAAAGGCCTGCCATATTCTGGACAGGTGGAGTTCTGTCTTGTCAAAGGGGAACACTTGGACAATAAAAAATCAGGGCTCATGGTAGAAGTGATCTCTTTTATTAGAGCAACAAGATTTTTGCAAAAAAATTCTTTAATTGCAAGCGTTTGGGCACAAACACCCTTCATCATATATTGGAGAAAAGATTGTAAAAGTTCTCCTGTGTAGAAATGAAAGTTCATATTTCATAGGATTTCACAGAGGAGTCAATAGATGGAATACTTCTCTGGGCAGGCAGTTCTTAGTGAAATCCTGTGTGTGACAGAGAAGCTTCAGTACTCCATCGCTTTAAGGGCTGGAGCAGGCAGCCGGCAGGTGTTTGATAAGAGCGGCCTGGGAGTAACATCACCTGGTGGGGCTACTGCTGCTGGAACATCTTGGAGGTAAGGGCTGGGGCTATGAGGAAGCAGGAGGCCCCAAGGTCCTGGGCATTAGGGCTGTGCAAAATTTCCCCGGCAGTTTCCTTTCAACGCTGTTTTGACTCATTTCAAGCTCAAAACAGCGAAATCGAAATGAAATGAAGGGATTTGAAACAGCCTCGAAATGAAATGTGGGCAGTCAAAACATTCTGAAAGTTTCAACACTCAGGCAGGGCTTGCCTGCAGGGAAACAGAAAGTAAGGAGAGGGTGGGGGAAGAGGGAAGAAGGAGTGCTTTCATATTGGCTGTGTAGCTGTGGTCCATCCCTGAGGTCCCCTCCAATCCCAGTGCTCTGGGGGATGGATGGAAAAACAGCATAAAAGACAGTATTGTTTGAACTGACCTGCTTTCTGTCACCCATGTCACGACTTTTGCTTGTCAGCGGCCTGCGGTGCAGTTTCCCAGAAACCCCTGCACCTCTCTCCTTGAAAGCTTGCAGGCTTCATGGCCTCAGCAGGGGCTACCATCCCTGCAGTTTTCACCCCGCAGTGTCTTAACTCACACACAGTGTCACCCATATCACGAGTTTTGTTTGTCAGAAGCCTGAGGTATAGTTTCTCAGAAACCCTTGCACCTATCTCCTTGAAACTTGGCAGGGGCTACCATGCCTACAAGTTCCATCTGAATCAGGCAAGAACTGACAAAGTTATAGGCAGTTTCATGGTTCCCCATTATAGCCTATGGGCAAAACGTTGAAACAGCGTCAAAACAGCGAAACAGTTTCGACAAAATGAAATGGAGCAGTGGTTTCGAAATTAAACTTGAAATGAAACACTGTCCCATCGAAATGTCAAAACAGAAGTCGAAACGAAGCGTTGCTGTTTCGCACAGCCCTACTGGGCATGACTAGAAATTGCACCCTGCTGGGCAAGAGTGGCCTGGTGGGACTCCTTGTGGTGAGCGAGTCCCCAAGAAATGCCAGGCCAGTTACCTCCCCGGTGAAAGGTAGGTAGGGGTGCCTTAACCCCAGCCTTCACCATCCCGTGGGTTATTAATGAGAGTGGTGGGCCAGGCACACTGAGTAGGGGCACCTGAGCCTATGGGGGTGTTCGACCCTATGCCCTAGTGAGGGGGCAAAGTTGAAATGCCTTAGTGGGAGGGTGTAGTTGAGAGGCCATGGGGAGAGGGTGCTGATGAGGTTAGCCTGAGAGAAGGGCGAAGTTTCTGGTAAGGGGCTAGGGCAAAGTCACCCCAGAGTTTGGCTAATTGCACAGCCACTGCTCAGATGAAGGTTACAGGAGAGACCCAAAAGGCTGCACCAGGGCTGGCTGAGGAGTGCAGTCAAGCCAGATGGCACCTCCAGGGTCACTCAAGGGAGCAGGACAGGGTGAATGGGGCCCAGAATAGGTGGTGAGAGAGAGGCCTGGTGAAAGCAGGCGGAGTGAAAGAGGCCCCGGTGAGAGGGGGGTTGTGAGTGTGGCCCAGAACAGGGCAGTATGCCAGAGGTATACTGTGTACTGTTTGGCCTGGCTACAAGCTGGAGATTTACCAAACTGGGTGTGTTATTTGCGAGGCATGGGACACATTAAGGTAAGGTCAGAGTGTGTACATATCGCCCTTGGACATCAGGGCACTTGAAGGGCAGCCATCCACCTAATTAAACTCTGGATTGATTTACAACCAAGCACAGCAAGTGAATGAGGTGGGTGGTTTGCCCATAGACAAAGGGGGCAGGCCAGTACTTAGACTGGGCCATGGGACTTTGCCCCTTTTTGCCACACTGTACCCAGAAGAACTTTTACAATCTTTTCTCTGATGCCTGATGAAGGGTGTTTGTTCCCAAAAGCTTGCAATTAAAGAATTAATTTTTTTTTAAATCTTGTTGGTCTAATAAAAGGTATTACACCTCTACCATGAGTCCTGATTGATTTTTCCTCTAGACCAATACAGCTACAACCTGGATACCTGGACAATAAGAAAGATTTTATGACATGGTGCTTACCCACGAGGTTGCTATGAGTGCCATAATCCCATTCCCATATCATAACAGAACAAGAAATAAAAGACAGGTCCTTACCTGGTGTGAGTAACCATATCCAAAACTTCCATAGCAGAATGTAAACTCCACTTCCAAAGTGCAGACCACCTGGAAATATAAAAAAAGACTCTCTTTTTTAAATACAATAGTTAACTCTTATTGCAAGCACATTTACAAATAAGTTCTCTGGTAAAATACAAGTATGGTAAGCAAAGCAACAAGATATGACATACCCCATGTAAGTAGCGTATCATGTTTTATAGGATCTTTATGTTATCCTTTTCTTTTTTCTTTCATAAATCTATTGTTCTTAATAATAGACATTCTCTTCATAATCAAATTCAGAAAATCTTTGTCACTTGTAGGCTTTGCCTACAATGGGGCAACGTATAAAATATTCTTGGATGTTCAAGCATTCTAGTATAAAATCAATCTCTTTACAAAACACTTTACAAATTTTAGTATATATTTTGTTTGATTCATTCCTGTATGGGTTATGCATAATTCTTTGTATTTTAATTTTTAAGTGTCTAATGATTCAGGTGATAATACCAAACGTTATTCTCTATATTCTATTATGTATATACATAATGGCTAGATTCACCTCCATTGCTCAAAGGGGAAATGTATCATTGCAAAGGAGCAGGCATTGTTTTTATTGCCAACTTTCCCTCAGAGGTTAAGCCACTAGAAGAAAAAGGTACTTTATGGACTTCACTTGTGGATACTGCAGTGAGGTTGAACTGAATTAGTCTTTTTTCTAATCGTTCTGGCTATGCCTTTTCTCCATATACCATTACCCACTACATTTGTGGATACAATGTTCCTGCAGCAAAGTTGTTCTGTTTCCCTGTATGCTTGCCCTTAGTTGCTTCCCAAAACAAAATATATCAGAAACCACAGAAACATAATGAACACAAAAATGATCCAAGAAGCTGGAACTGAGTAAGACAGCATATATACACAGCCTGTTTTTTATTATTTATTATCCCTGTTAATTTTAAAACTCTGAAATTTTCTGTAGATTCTGTCTTAACTCTGTTGTGCGACAGGGTGCCTCTCCAGGGGTAGCTGTGAAGCCCCTGGAGTCCCTGCAGCCCTCACTTTGTAGGCAACCACCCCTTCAGTGGCCCACCACACCTTGATGTCTGTTACTTTTATGAGGGAGGCTGCCCCAGGGCTTCCCAAATTGCTATCTCAAATGACCACCAGGTGCCCGTGGTCATTGCCTTCCATTCCTCCCCTACACCACGCCCCATGCCTCGCAGATGGCATCCTCATTTATGTTCTCTTCTACTTAGCCCCTCCTCTGGCTCCTGGACCCTTGCTGCTCCCATACTCTCAGCCTCTCAATACAGGCTCTGGACCCCTCCCTGGGTCATTAGGAACCTCCTCTCGCCTTAGTTCCTCTCCAAACCTCCAGGCTGCCTTAGGTGGTACCTTCTGGAGCTGCAGCCCTCCTGTTGAGGTGCTATTCTCTCAGCAGGCTCCAAGCTGTTACCGCTGGCTCATCTCAGGTCTGGGCTTATATCCTATCTAAGCTCAGTCTTCCTCCAGGGTCAAATGACTCCATAATCAGCCTGATGGCACCTGCAGGCTGCCCTAGCAGTAACCTGCCTGCTTCTTAAAGTGGCAGGAGCACCAAGCCTCCTGCCACAGTCAGCACCATCAGTGCAAACCCCTTTGAAATCAATGGGGGTGGCACTGGCATGGCTAAGAGCAGACTAGAGCCTACACACTTAGCAAGAATATTATGACCCTATTAACTAGCACCATGGAAAGACTGGAGTTTATGTACTGTTCTGTCATAATCCTTTTCTCTCTATTCAATTTTTGCTTTAAAATGCAATACACCTTAAAGGTTGTATGACAACGTTTAAATTATACATGTGTCTGCAACCAAACAAAATCTTTTGGCAAAAACAATAGTATGTGGGTTTAATACTTTATAGTTGCCACCAAAAATCTTACTATGTTTCTACTCCTCATGGCCAATGTTTCAGTGAAATGGCTTCTCTGCAGAGATGAGGAAAGACAGAAAAAAAATGCTTTGATTCATTAATTTTTCAAGCAAAGGATTTATATAGTATATTATCAAGTATGTAAAAATACAAGAACTTATAACTATATCAGATGTTACAGACTCCTTTCACACAAAGATCATTTAAAAGTCATACAAAAGCATTCATAACTGAAAAGTCAGTCAAGCAACAATGCTTGATTGTCCAACCATGACAGTGAAAAAAATTTTTTTAGTTCAATCGCTTTTAGTTCATTTTTCAGTTCTATCACATTACTCTTTGTCCTAAAGCCATATTGTTAAATTTAGGTGGTGATAATTAGGTGACAAAGGCCTGGCTCCTATAAATATACGTTTTACACATGCAAACTCTCCCACTGTTTTAAGTGCTTATAGGCTGCCTATACATGTGCTGGTTTGTGTTCTAATTAGAACATGTTGGAGCAGACTCGATTAATTGAGTCTGTTCTGCGTTCTAATTAGAACGCTCTAGCATTGGCTTACTGTCACATGTATAAGCCTTTGCATGTTTTAAAATGACTGGGGGGGGGCGCTTTATCTAAACCAATGAGGTTTAGATAAAGCATCCCACAGCCATTTCTAACCTTACAAGGCTCTTCATGCATGTGATGCTGAGGCATTTTAATTAGATTGGCTTTTTGGGAACCACTCTAATTGAAACACACCCCCACCACCACCACCATTCCTGAGCATGTGTATAGGCAACTGTAATGATTGACATGAAGCTTTGCATTGTTAGTATTTGCAAGACTGGGACCTAAATAGGTGCCTAACTCAACATGTAGATACCCAAATACTTTTATAGCTTGACTGCATTAAACTGAGTTAACTTTAGATAATTTGTCTAAAGTGCCTTGGTTTCACATGCAACCATTTTTTAAGCAAATCATTTTGCATGTTTTATCACAGTGAGTGATCTGAGACTACAGAACAAGAGTAATTTCAATTTGCAGTTAATTTGTTAATTTGTTCACTGCCAGGTTTGCATGAAAACCCCATGTGGACCCCTCACAGGTTTTAAAGATGAAAGTCCTCTTTGTATAGCCATGTGTTCAGGCCCATGTGGAAAAAATTCAAATATATGTAAGGCACTATCAGAGCAAAAGAAGGAGGGGAACTCCTGGAGCTTGTCCCAATGTACAACTAAAGAACAAGCACTTGAATGGAAGTCAAGGGACCAAAACAAGGGCTCCAGTAATTCTCCTTTTATCTACCTATATACACCTATCAATATCACAATGGCAATCACATAGTAACTGGATATTCATAAGGAATAAATGGAACTATTGTTTCAATGTAAATCAATAGATGCAACAATGTGTGTTAATCTGTATGGTAATTCCAAAACCATGTGCAATACAAACAACCTGCAACCTAGTCTTTGCCATACCCACCTGAATAACTTCATAAAGGTGCACTGTTGCATACCCCAGCAGTTTTGGAAATTCTTTTGGACTCTGAAATTCTACTAATTCTAAAATAATCTTATTTTGCATATCCTGTCGCTGCCTTGGAACCTGAAAATTAAAACAGAGAATATGTGCAAGCTATCAACACGAAGCAATAAAAATAGGTGGCGCAACTGAGAAAAGCAGTAAATCTAAGACAAATTGACATATCTACTAAAACACTCACTACCCAGAGCAAAGAGGAACAACTGGCAAATATTGCTATGCTAGAAGATTCCAGCAAAATTGCCTTTGCTAGGATGTCCTAGATTCATAGGCTTCTTGGAAGTTGATAGGGGATGTTAGCAACAGTACTTTCTATTCTGGTTACCCGAGGAAACATTGAAATGCTCCTTTAACAAGAGTTTAAACAATGGAAACCACCGCATAGACTTAAAACATGCAAATCCTGGTATAGGTCAGTCGCGTCTTATGCGGGGGTTAGGTTCTAAAGTCAGTGTGTAAAGCGAAAATCGTGTATAGTCAAAATTACCGTGCCAGTAGTGACAGCCACAGCCTCCAAAACCTCCCA